TTTCCTGCAATTAGCATGCTCATTAGTAACCATGCATGCTAATTACAGATAAAGAACAGGCTGATTACAGCCCAAGAGCTGTAGCGACAGTTATCTTGTGGGCACGGCTCTCCCCGCCACTGAGGATTTCCTCCGGCGCAGACGGCTGCTGAAACTCATCAGGGACCCCCGATTTTACCCTTCTGGAGACACTCCCCTTCCGGCTGGGGGGAATCCCCACGCTTTCTGCTTTCTGACGACTGCCAAGGAAATCCCCCAACACTGGGAGGATGCCAGCTCCAGGGCGGGACTGTCGCCAGTCTTGCTCACTAGGGCAAGGGCAGCACCGGCAGGCGCTCAATACCCGGAAATGAATGAATGAACGCTGCATAGGAGACGTGAGACGCCGATGGGGAACGCCTTGCCTCCCCGGGCCTCAGTCCTCCCATCTGTAAACTGGCGGTGAGACGCGTGTCCGTTGTTCGTTACGTGTGGGGCAAACATTTAGCACATAGTAAGCCCTCCAGAAACGGCGCGGTGCCTGTCATCAACATCGTTTTTATTGTTATCACTTCGTTACTCCTGATCAGCCCAGCGGGGCCCCCAGTTGATGGGGAAACGGAGCCCGGAGGGGGCTGAGCCCAACGGGGCTGGGGGTGGGGGGCGGGGTGGGTGTCAGCAGCAGGGCTGAGCTGCTTACCGGTCAGGGTGTACTCCGTCTGCCGGATGCCCTCGATGACCATCCACGGCTGCTCCTCCTTGAGGCGGGGCGGGCCCTCGAAGTTGGTCCGCCTGTACTCGAGCACGTAGTGGTCGATCTTGCTGTCCTCGTCCGGCATGCGCCACACCAAGGTCACGCAGTTGTCTGCCACCAGGGACTCGGCCAGGTCAATCACAGGGGCGCCGGGCACTGTCCAGGACGGGGGGAGGGGGGCTCAGGTCCTTTGCCTGCAAGGGCGATCTTACAGAAACCTCACCCGCAATTTAGGCCTTCTTGGGGGCCTCCTCTGGAGCCCAACCTTGGGAGCGGGGCCCCTCCGGGCACTGGGGCCTGGGGGGTGGAGCTTCCACAGGGTTTCACCAGAGTGGGGTGGTGGGGAAGAGCTTCCTCAGGGTTCAACCGACAAAGACCTGGGCCTTCTCAGAATACCACCATTTCAGGATAATTTCTAGAATTCTCTCATAGGGGCA